ACAACCAAATAATTCGAGTATGAACCGTTTAGTAAAAAATGAGATGAAAAGATATTAGAGCCAACCACTACAAGGGAGTTGATCAGAGAGAATACTCAATTCCTCAGCATATGCAATAAAACCAAAGATGTCTATAACACGTCTATTTGAAGATAGTCATACTAGGTCAGTTGCCCGACAACACCGACAAGCCCAGTCCTGCTACCAAAAGTCGATTAAGCTCAGCTGATCGAGTCAAATGCCAACCAAGCGACATACTCATACTAGTTAAATAGCAAAAAGTCGTGCCCTAATTTCTTTAAAGCAATGACAAAAATATAATTTCTTCGTATGTTATTCTCTCTCATATAAATAGATAGATCATTTCATTTCATTAATAAGATAAAATGTATTATTATTAATTACTAATCTCTCTCCTCTCCTTCTCTCATTAACTTATGCTCTATTCCTCTGATTCAAGAACAAAAGAGGATTCAAAAGTATTATTCTATTTTTATTTCAAAAAAAATATTGATTCAAAAAATTAGATGTTTATGTGACATTAATTGGTGTCTAAATTTCTCCTAAAGAATATTGTATTTTCTTACAAAATTTATTTAAATTCGTTTTGCATAACTAATTATTCTAGCATAACAATATTCAAATTGCAATTAATGAATAAAAACCATCATAACAATTCAATGCATTCATGGATAATGGTATTGCTTTGGAGGCCGGGATAAGTTATTTGAAAACAATTGGTATTATTATTTGCTACACTTTTAATGTAATTTTATTTTTTTAATTTATTGTTAGTTATTGGAGTATAATTTAATCCTAATTAAAAAAAATGATAAATTGATTATTGACTAACTTGAATAATATTATGATTTATTATAACAAATATTTACTATAGGAAAGATAAAATCAAAGTGCTTTTAAAATGAAACGGTAATACAAGCAATTTAACAATGCTTTACAAAACAACCAAGAAAAGGGAATTTATATATATAACACACGTAATTTTAGGATTTATATTTTTAACACAAAATCAACAGACACTTATTAGACAAAAGGGGCGAGACAGAATGGGGGAAGGGGTGGCTTTCCTTCTCTAATCAAGCGCCTCTAGGATATTTCTCGTAGGATCTAGTTGTTGTAGCAAGGCGGGCTACGATAACTTCAAAGATGGTACAATTCACGACGGTGAGGTCAAAGGCTAAGTTGGGCTGAAGCGAATTTATGGATGATGTCGACTCTAGAGGATGTGAGATTGTGTTCGACAGCCTCTTTGATTCAACTTTAGTAGACTTTATTAAATCCAATAAATTCGGATTTAATAAATATAATGTAAGTGGGAGAAGTTATTGGATTTAAATGGAGGGATGAGTTTGGCTTCGGAAAAATTATGTTTGGTGGATTTACATTGGTTTATTTATGTCGATAAATTCTAACGACTGCTCTAATTAATATATAAAATAAGATACGATAAATATGTAAAAAAGTATATAAAATAAGAACTTATTCATATCATATAGAATAAGATATGATAAATATTCATATGAGTAAAATTTAAGGAAATAATTTATTAAAAAAACATTAATCTCCCCAATTTTGTAAGCCTTCAACTCTAATTTATTTTAAGATGACAATTAACTAAATGTTATATGATATTAAGCTATAAATTAATAAAATAAAAGCATAATTTATTTTGAACTATATATATATATATATATATATTAAATATATATCTGTTAGTCCATAATAAGATTAACTGTAAAGAAAAAAAAAAAGGCTTTTTAAATTTTCTTCTAGTTTTTACAACAAGGCAGGAGGCCCATGATATGCTAGAAGGCCCATAAAATAAGTAGGCCGTACATTAGAATCTGCTAAAATAATATTAAAATATGTTAATTATTTTTTAATGTGATTTACATACATACCAACCAATTCTGTTATATTTACATATCTAATGCCTAAACTTTATTTTTTTTTAATTTGTACCACTCAAATCTTTAATATTAAATCCAAAATATTACTATTTTATTTAAAAAAAAAAGAAAAATTTTTTTCTTGACTTTTAACGAGTTAGTAAAAGTGTTATTTTAAAAGAGTTGTTAAAGAATTAAGTATTATGTATGTAAATATGAAAGTTTAGATGTTAGATATATAAATATATTAGAATTTTAACTCGAAGTCAACTAAACTTAGCAATCCTAACCAAAGGGCAACCGGATGTTAAACTTACACTTGTGAATATAAAAATAATTTAGTACGGCGAGTTTTCAAATAATGATAAAAATATGTAATCATCATTCCAATATATTCTCTATAAATGGAAGTGATGCGTGCTAGGAAATTCACGGCGGTAGAGTAATGAATTATTGTTTTAGCGTTGCATGAGAATTCAACACACACTTAGATGAAAAAGAATCAAACTATGATGACACCAGAAGTTTTTACGAGGAAAATCCGTAAAGGAAAAAAAATCACGGGTCTAACCCAGTTATAAAAATCCATTATAAGTTGATAATTATAGAGACCCATTGTCTTAGGAAAGAGTTATTAGAATTTTCAAGGTATAACGTTGACTGACAACTTCTGGCCAACAGTGGTCGATGACAGTTGAGGAGGGTCGGCGGTGGTCAACGACGGTCACTAGTGGTCGCCGGCGGCCGGCGGTGGTCGATGACAGTTGATGACGGTCGACGGAAGTTTACGATGGTTGCTAGTGGTTGACAGTGGGTCGGCGATGGTTCTTGATGGTCGGTGGCGGTCGACGGTGATCGACGATGACAAAGATGATGTTGGACTTGAACTTCTTCTCAAAGCCTCACATTATCTCTCAAGCCTCCTCCCTCTCATGTGAGGGGTGGGACTCTTATTATAGTATTATGGGTGCAATTAATGCAGGAATATTAACCGTTTTGATTAGACGGTCCAGAGAGCTTCCCTTTATCGTATGACGTTTGATGGACATTTGAGTGTCTTAACGATGTCAAAATTGAGCAATCTTGGGCTTGTTGGATTCGTCTTGTCGAGACACTCGATTCGACTATGAACTTGCTGAATTCGACATTCGTTTGATCTTTCAAATGTGTCCGTAAATCTTTCAAGAATGATTTAATCACTTGATTTGGGCGCTAGTTGACTCGGATTTGACTAACTTTGATATCATTATGTTTGTCTCATTGAGCCGCTCAATTTGATTATAACTTTGCTGAAATCGAAGTTCTGTATAACTTTTTATCAAGATTTAAATATTTCTTGCTCAATAAAAATTTATTGGTAGCAGAATTATTTTACGAAGAATGCACGATATATCACTGTTCTTCTCTCTTCTAATTTTCTTTTTATTCCTCTGATATGATTCACAAAAGATCACCAATTCAGCATATTGCAGGAAGGGTGCAGCCACAACAATGGTGAGTGTACTTCAAAACTACTAAAATTCAGAACATTTGGTTGGAGATTGCATAGAACATTAGAGAGTACTTTCCAATTATTAAATATGAAGATGTGTCGGATATCATTATAGTCATCATCAACATGCACAGAGCAGCATGGACTCCCCACTTGCTTGCTGCTCTTCTCTTCAATTATATTCCAGGCACCATTTACCAACCTGTCTTCTCATCATGCAATTTCATTTTGCATAGAATTTTTTTTTAAAATTTGAGGAAATCAGAATTATAAATTCATAGAAGATTTACGGGAATAACACTCGATTCCTATGTATTTACATACCAATCACTAGGGCTGTAAATGAGCTGAGCTTGAGCGAGCTCATGCTTGGCTCGTGTTTGACTCATTCGAAATAGCTAGTGCTCGGAATCGGCTCGTGAACAGTGTGTTCGAAATCGGCTCGTGACGTACTCGGCTCGTGAACAGTGTGTTCGTGTTCGGCTCGATTTAAATATTCGTGTTCGTGATCGGCTCATATTCGGCTTGAAATTGACTCATTAAACTAAAATTGAGAAAAATATATGTAAAGTGTGAGATTCAAACTTGGATCAAATATATACAAAAGAAGACACTAACAACATTATCACATGAGGTGTTATGATTTAAATTTAAACATAAATATATATAATATATTATTATATAAATAATATATGCAATATATTGTTATATAAAAAGTTATATAATTTTTTTTCGAGCCATTTCGAGCTCGTTAGGCTTAAAGAACAAGCTGAACATGATCCGCTTAACGAGCTGAACAAGAGCTGTTCACGAACAATGAGCGAAATTGACAGCCCTACCTATCACCTAAATTTTAATTTTTACATATATCACACATTGAAAAATATATTTCATTTTTTTAAGGGTACTTTCCACAATATTAAAAATTATACTTCAGACCATCACTATCTCCCACCCTTTTAAGATGCCTTAAATACTATTAATTATATTAACATGGAGACAGAAGCGTCCTGCCCCACTCCAGCTGTTTGCTTTTTGCATTAATTTACATTATTCCCCACAGCTTACTGTAAATGTAATTGATTTTGCACTTAATTATAATAAATGTTTTTTTGCACATATTTTCAGGATTATATCATCTTTACCAACATTGTGTTTTGCTGTCTATTGGTATGATGATGCAAACTCGGTCTTTTTGGCGAGCGGGTGAGTTTAGCCAGCCGTATTCCATAATCACAGGCGAGCCATTTAGCATAACTGAATAACTTCAGCGGGTTGAACTTGTCCCGCCAGACTAACATCTATCATGGTATTCTAATTAATCCGAACTCGATCGGGAGGCATTTGATCATGCAAAATTGAGTTTTTCAAGCATATATTGTAAATGATAATGACATTAAAGTGCTAGATGAATAAATATTAAAATTTAGATTTTAAATACATATAGATAATAATAAACTCAAAGGCATCTAAATCACCATAACATTTTTTTGAAAGAAAAGATTTACAGAGTAGTATGGACCAGCCCAAATTTTAAACAATTGAACAAAGCGAAGCTTTATACCCGTGATCTATAAAAGCATTTTCCCTAAAAAGTCCTGCTCAATTCTTTATACTATATCTGGTATCTAGTCTTCTATTGTTTTACATTAATGCCAAGCTGTGTCAAAGCTAGCACAAAGATGAAAGCCAAATTATAATTAATACAGCACACCCCACCAATCTTCCTCCTCATTCATCAATCTCTCTGTACAGATTTCAAATCTAACATTCTCTTCCTTCCCTCTTCTTCTTGCATTTCCCTTCTCCCTACAGAGATTGAAGAACAGCTCGGAATGGCCCTTTGGCCATTCACATCTACTCTCTTCCTTTGCCTTATCGCATCCATGGCCTCGCTTTCTGATTCCAAAGCCTTCTCCTTTGAGGAGAACTTTGTCATTACCGGAGCAAAAGAGAACTTCAAAGCCTCACCTGATGGTCAAGTATGGCACCTCTATCTTGATCAGCAGAAAGGTATTTATCATCATTTTCTGTTCCAAAATCGAATTTTTACGAGGAGTTTTTATTGAACATTTGATGAACAAAATAGGATGCGGATTTCAGACGAAACAGAGATACAGATTCGGTTGGTTCAGCATGAAGCTGAAGCTGGTGGGAGGAGATTCAGCTGGAGTAGTGACTGCTTATTATGTGAGTGTGTTTTCTGCAATCTGATTCATGAATTTTGGTTTTATGAATTGGAAAGCTGAGGTTTTTGGTTTGCAGATGTGTTCGGATTTGGACGCTGGGTTGAAGCGAGATGAGGTTGATTTTGAGTTTCTCGGGAATAGGAGTGGGGAGCCATATACAGTTCAAACTAATGTGTATATGGGAGGAGTTGGGGGGAGGGAGATGAGGCACATGCTTTGGTTTGATCCTACAACTGATTTCCACACTTATTCGATTCTTTGGAACTTTCATCGTATTGTGTGAGTATTATACTTTCAGTTAACCGTTATATTTGGATCTGTTTCAGATTTCAATTTGAAAACTGGCTCTGGTTATGAATTTTCAGCTGTGAATGCAATAGAAATGGCATCATAAAATGAATTTAAAAAAAAAAAAAAATACATATAGTTGAAGGGGAACACCCCCTTAGTTTTGCTATTTACATATAGCACTTAAAATATGAAAAATAATTTAAAATTTGCACTAATCCAAACACATTTCATCACTGGACCACCTAATTCTAATGAGCCTCTTCTAGCAAATGTTCAATGAGTAGTCATTCATGTTAATTCTCAAAACCAGAGTTTTGAAATCCTTACATCAAAACCTGCAGCTTCTTCGTGGACAGAGTAGCCATAAGAGTCTACAGTAACAACGGGAAGCCGAACGGCTTCTTCCCCCACGAGAAGCCGATGTACATATTCTCAAGCATATGGAACGCCGACGATTGGGCGACCAGAGGAGGGCTGGAGAAGACGAACTGGAAGAACTCTCCATTCGTCTCAACATACAAAGAGTTCGGCTTGGATGGCTGCCAGTGGGAGGACCCTTACCCGCCCTGCGTTTCGACCACCGCGAAGCACTGGTGGGATCAGTACGAGGCTTGGATGCTTGATGACGACCAGCTGGAGGACTTCGTATGGGTGGGGAGGAACCTTGTTATCTATGATTACTGTAAGGATGCCGAGAGGTACCCTGTGTTGCCGGAGGAATGTAGTTTGTAGAGTCTATTATTGCTTCTGTTTGTTAGGAGGGATGAAGGTTTGGGATGGAGGGGATGGTCGTTGTATTTGTGGGATGATTTACATACATATATACCACGCAATTCCAATGCAGTTACAACTAGATCTAATACATAAACTCCCAACTTCTGCATATATATCAACCCTTTAGCTATATGTATGAAAATTTATATTTCATTTTGCAAGAGTTTTGGGTGATATACATGTAGAAAACAAAGTTTAGATATTAGATGTGTAAAATAAATGAGAATTTGGTGTTTACATGATGTTGCATAACTCGATTACTTTTATTTGGTTTGGCTTTAGGATTTAAAAAAAATGCATTCCATGTGATTGTAGAAAAGGGAATGAAAGGGAGAGGCCACCGACAGAGCAGAAGATACAGAGGATTCGTAATAATTCATAAGATGGGCATATGGCAGCTGCTTTCACATTTATTGCCTTTTGGACTTTGCGAGACTGTTCACGGGCGAGCCTCGTTCGTCCAGGGTGGCAGAAAGCAGCCTTTTGACGTTTTATTTATTTATTTTAAAAAATAAAAATTTTGAATAATCTTTATGGCATCATAAAATAATCTGCAATAAAGATTATTCAAAATTTTATGTAATCCAAGTGTAATAAGAATCTATATATCAAGTTCTTATGTTTGAAGCATTTACAAACATTCTTATAACACTTGGATTACATGAGGGATTTACTTTAAGTTGAGGTCTTTTTGCTTTAATTATTAATGGATATTTACATATGTATGTTTTTTGCTATGATGTCCTTCTTGTGGATAATATTGGAGAGTTAAAAATAAACTTGATTTACATATCTCAACTTTAGAATCTAAAGGTTTTCGTTTTGTAGATTTCAAATTGAATACAAGGAATGTAATTTAGTTTAGTAGTAACAGATCTAATAATTGGTTGTAACAATTGATGATTAAGTCATTAAAAGGAGTGAATATTTTAGTTATTGTTGATCTATTGTTCTAAGTAATAGTGATATAGATGGGGATGTTATTAGTAGAATTCAAGTTGGATGGTCGAAGTTTAGGATGCATGGGGCCTATTTTGTCATAGAAAAGTATTGCTTAGACTTGAGAGAAAATTTTATAAGATGGAGGTGAGATTTGCAATGCTTTATGGTGCAAAATGTTGGCTTGTAAAATAGAAGCATAAAATTAGGTTAAGTTTGCTTTGATGAGAATGTTCACATGAATGAGCAGCTCTACAAATTGAGACAAAATGTGAAATGAATATTTCATGAAAGGGTTGGAGTAGCTTCGATGGTAGACAAGATTAAAAAAAGTTGTCTAGGATGATTCGGTCACGTTAAACATTGACCATCTTATGACTATATTTGAAGTAGATATTTTAAATTTGACTTAAAGATCTATAAAAAGACTTGGGCATGTTATATAAAAAATGATCATAATTTATTAGAATTAAATGAAAATATGGCACTCAATAGGATACAATGGAGAAAAGGGATTAATGTAGCCAACCCCATTAAGTCAAATTGGAAGTCTTGTTGTTTTTGTTGTTGGGCATTTACAAACACACCACAAATTTCCCATCTATTTACATATCTAAAACATTCATATTTACATAACATTCAAATCTTTAGCATCACATCAAAAATATCACAATCATTTTTTTTCTTAAAAAATTACACCTGGTGTTAGACATGTAAATACTTAAGAATTCTGTGGTATTCGTGCAAATTTCCCTTAAAGTTCTCCTATTTCTTGGGGCCATATAGGTTATTCTCTTCTCCTTTTCTATTTTAATTTTCTTTAATTTTGACTCAAGCCCCCTTTTATATCTTCCACATCTTCATGAATAAAATAATGCCAAGCCTCAAAAACTCACCATTCCCAACAGTATTTCGTTAAATTTAGCTAAGATTTTTATATCTTCAAGATCATAAACATAAATACTTACAAAATATAAAAATGCTAAGACATTCCTATTTTTTTAAAGAAAATAAACAAAAAATACTTACAAAAATTGAATAGGCAGTGATCACCCCATATATAAATATATACCTATCCTCTATAATCATCGATTGCACTTATTTTACACCTCATATAAAATAGATGATGATCAAAACACAATTAAAAATGATTTTTTCAAAAGAAAATATATTCCGTTTCAATTATAAGATTAGAAAGGATTATTAAGGGAATGAGATAAACAAGTAGCATGTAGATTAAATAAATACCAATATCACCAAAATTCCACAAGTTAACATTCAAGACATTCAAACCAAATTTTGTAACAATGAAATCACAAAAACATATGCATATATTTATAGAGTAACAAAGATGCTGGAAAAAAGCCATCGGCAGATGATGAGCCCTCTTCCTCAAGTTTCAGAGGTACAGCAAGCATTTGTAATACAATCCAAATAAAGCAGAAACTAACAATCCAAATAAAACAGAAAATAACAATCTAAATAAATGTCCAGTAACAGCCCCCCAAATCTTATAATCTATTACTTATTGGTTGGCAAGTTGTAAATCAGAAACCATGCAGCTTGATGTGCTCCTTCTTCACAATACCAGCCTATGAAATTAAAGAAAAAACTTTAGTCCCACACCTTCAAAAAATTAATAATAATAAAGACTTGGGGCATTTACACACAACATACCATACCTTCTTATATATTAACAAATCTAAGGCTCATATTTACATGCATAACACAAATCTTTCACATCACATCAAAAGTGCCAACCTTTTAAAAGGTGAACCAACACATTTTCATGCATAGGGTTTTCAAACCAAACTGTTATAAAGATAAATATCAAATTTTTGGTGTTAGATTTCTTAATGGGCATAAGAATTGTGTGGTATGTTTGTAAATTTTTCTAAAGTCCTTGCATAATAATCTGAGCATAGTACCTGAACCAAGAAAGTCGAGACATTCTTGCGCTGATCACCTTGAAGTTGTATGACCTATAAACCTCAACCATCAGTGAACAAGCCATAATGATACAATCTTGTTATAGTTTTTAGATAAAGTAATTATTTAAGTTCTGTAAGCTGATCTCAATAAAAAAGTAATAAAAAAAAATGGGTGAGAATATCCTCAATTGCAATTTGGCCAAATGTCTTACCAATTATAAAAATAATATATATGCATGCTCCTCATAAATAAATCTAAAAATTAAGTTTTGAAAAGGTTATGATGATGCCATAATAAAAATTAAAGTGACAAAGATGAGATGGGGGAAAAATAAAAATACCTGGCCTAGTTCAGGGTCCTGGACAACAGTACCATTGCAGCAGAATTCCTTCTTGAGGTCCTTCAAGATCTTGGTGTAGCTGTACTCTTTCTTCAATCCTTGCACGGTAGTCAGACTCTTGCGCCCGTTGCGTTGCTGCACGCGCACATGCACATACTCCTTTGCTCCCGCACCTGAATCCTCAGCATTTGCCTCAGCAAACGGATCTACACACCATTAATTCAACATTTTAAGTTCCACTTATTTGGGCTATAAATATTATTTCACCAAAATCTATAAAAAGATATGAGTATATGTACATACCAAAAGCGGTGGGGAGCTGGACGTCGAGACCAGACATGAACACTTTGGCTGAAGGGATATTTAGTTAGCGAAACTTGCTTGAATTTTGGTTTGAAGCTGAAAATAATAAACACTTGATATATTAAATCTGATTCTAAATTTCCAACAATTGAAATTAACAGTGATTTGGTTATAGCATTGTTGATATCATACTCATAGATATATTGCATGGGAGAATAAGAAGTCATGGAAACAAATTATACTAATTTAAAAAGACAGCAGGAAGATTTTCATCCATGCAGCTTCAAGAAAAATATACACTTCGAATAGAAGAATAAAAGTGCATTGTTAGTTAAAAAACATCATGGACTTTGACCATTATGCTTAAAAACATCATATATTTCTATATTCTAAAAAACTTACTGAAATGAGTGGTTTGGGCAATTTGGTACTACTACTTTAACAAAATCACACTTCAGTCCAAAACTTCAAATGACCAGGCAATACGAGGGATGCTCCCTACACCAACCTATTTAAAGCTAAAATTTATCTATTTTAAGCTTCCACAAAGCGTGTTTACAAAAAAGTTAATGAGCCAAAAGCAATCCCCTTTTACTTCTACATGGAGTTCCCTACCCAGCCCCACTCACTCCATCATCCTCATTTGAAGAACAACTGGGAAAACTACTTCAAGATTCCAAGTATTTAGAAATTTTCAGGTGGGTCTCCAACAACAGGGGTGGAATAATAACAATACCATGAGAATATCATGCCTTTTAGAGTAAAATATGCCTCTCTTCACAAGAAAAATTACAATGGATCAATAAGTTAAATGACCCAAATATAAGACCACACAACAGGATATCTAAATCATGATTCAAAATTTTACAATTGGATGAAACTGTAAATTACCCTCGCTACTTTGCTGATAAAATAAAAGCTCAGAAATGATGTATAGTATCCAAAATAAGTAAGTGCCAAAAGAGCACTCTTAATATGAATGGTCCCTTGGGAAATTCTTTCAAGGAGACACAATCATTAGCTTTGTTAGGAAAAAGTGAACATCTTGATAGAAATTAGGTGTCATGAATAATAAAGTGATATGTTATAAGAGCCACCACTTGAACAAATTTGGGGTGACTCTTGAATATGGGTGCCAATTCAGATTTAACTGTTGGATTTGGAACTAAACCGAAATTGACAGGACATAAATATGCATGACCCGAACCTAACCAGTTTATTAAATGGGTTAGCAATTTTAACTTGAACCCCTTTGACCCAAAGTCCAACTTGCATAACCTGTTTAATATAAAGCATAATAGTAATTTAGGTCAAATTTGAGTCAATTTTAAGTTGGCAATACAAATTCGACTTGATGGTTTGCCTTAAGCCAACCAAATATAATTAAAATCTTAGAATTATTGACCCAAACTGCAAATTAATTAGGTCAAGCCGAACACGAACTTTTACGAGTTACGATTGGAAGGGTTAGGTGGAGTCAATTTTGGCATCCTAGCGCTTGAATATATAAGACCTATCTCTAGAATTGTATCTATTTGGTGGATGATTTGGAGCCATACATAAAGCCTCTAACGAGTATAACAATTCCTTGAGTAAGGGAGACAAAAAGATCTCTACCGTGCAATTAAACAAAATTCTAAACATTGATGGATCTTTTTTTATAGAATGACTAAAATTTTATAAGAAATAGAGTTCTCTTGGGATGGTGGATCTTCTATAAAGTTGCAACAAATAGCTATAAGGGCAAAGCAATTGATATAAAATAGGTGAGAGTTTAGACTAACACTACTGAATGGGAACCACCTCTTGAGCCTGTTTGAGGTAAAGTAACACATGAAAGAGATACCTTAATTTATGGAGGATACTAGGTCATACATGTGGCAAGGATGCCAAATCTTAAGTGAGGGGTGGTTGGGTGAGTTTATGGATGGGGTGATGATTTGAGTTTTACAGCATTTACATACCACACAATTAATATGTATTCACATATTTAACACCAAAACATTCATATGTACATGCATAACATTCAAATCTTAAACATCACATAAAAAAAATATATATATCACAATTACAATCTCTTTAAAAGTGAAATACATCTTATCATGCATAAGTTTATGACACAAAATGTGTTATAAATGTAAATGTCAAATTTTTGGTGTTAAATATGTCAAAACATAAGAATTGTATGGTATGTATGTAAATTTTCCATTATCTTTTTTAAAGAACTCCATAGTTAAGCATGCCCATGCTGAAACACTAGTGCCAGATGACCTATTAGATAGTTGCACCCAGAAGAAAACCATAAAGCTTATAAAGCCAAAGCAGGGTTGAGAACCAAGCCATTACCAAGGTAAATACAATTTGTTATCAAATTACCCCCCCCTTAGAATCTCTTTTTTTTTTTTTTTTTGGAAAATCAAATCAAGACACTTGAAAATTGAATCCGATATCGCTTAGCATCCAGATCACGCAGCGGAATATGAACAACTTCGAAAAAACGGAATATAATTTCAATTGAATCCCAAAAGTTACAATTCTTGATCAAGAAAATAAAAATATTCTTAATCAAGAAAAGCAAAAAAAAAAAAACTTGAAATCAAATATACAAGAGAATTGTAAGAGTTCAGATGTTTCCGATCCCTGTAATCTCGCAAAAGGCTCGAGCATGATCATGAAATTCCAGACAAAAAAACGTATTGCAAGAAAATAATTGCAGCGACCAAAGAAAATTTCTTCCCCAAAAAAAGGTTTAGTTCTGAACTTAAAACCTAACCAAAACAATATTTTTAGCGCCCTTAAATCAGGATCCTGCTAGAACAATAAGGTATCAAGATCTAAACCATAAAGTTATCCAAATCAATTTGCGTCTGCAAGTGCATGAAAAAACACATAGAAGATAAGAATAAGAAGAAGAAGAAGAAGAAGAAGGTAACTAACCTAATCAGAGACCGGAGGAAGACGGAAGCGCAGACGGACAAGAAAAAATTGATGATCTTCTTCGTCCTTCCCCGGATTACCTTTTATAGACCTTGTCGGCAAGAACGACCGGACAACAGGTTTCCCGACCCAAAATCATTTCTTCCACCCCTTTGGCCGAATAAATTGCTTACGACCACAGGTCGCAAAAGAGAGTCGTCCCACGAAGTGTGGCATTGACCGAAACAATTTATTTAAATGAACGGTTGTAAATCAGTTTTCGCATGCGCCTTTTATGAAAACTTTATTGGATGAGAATAATAGATATGATAAATTTACATGCACACCATATACCTATAAAACTCAAAAATTGATAGTAATTTTGAATATTGGTGATGTTAGAGTGATTATTTAGCATCGTATTGATGCATGAAAATTCATCACACGTTCAAGTAATTAAGAAAATTAAGCAGGATGAGACATCTCAACTTTTTATGTCGAAAACTCTAGAATAAGAAAATAAAATAATCCAATATATAATTATGAGTATAAAAATCCACTATTCTCTTAGGGTAGAATTATGGGGTGTAAACAAGCTGAGCAAAATAAAGAGTGGAGCTGAGTTCCTGCTCGTGTTTGGTTGATTTAAAATTTATTGACTTGTTCGATTCATTTGATTTGAGTTAAACTTTATGATTCCAATTTTATTTATTTGATTCAAATTTATTTCATTCGTTTGAATTGAGTTAATTTTTTTCTAAATGAGCTCGAGTTTAGTTTTAACACAATTTGATTGAAATGAGGACCAAAGAGGAGCACGAAGTCTAATTGATTTGATTGAACACAAATGAGCCTCATTGAATTGTTTGTACCAGTTCATAATCAAGCTAAAAAAAAATAATTATTTAACTTCATAGATTAATTTATCACAAATTCTAAAAATAGTATTTTTTATTTATATTCTCTTCATAGGAGCTTGGGCCCAAGAGCCTCACTGCTAGTTGTTACTTAGCAATGTGCTTCATTACTTCGCAGCGCAGACTATAATTTAGTGGTAAACATTGTGATTTCACAAGGGGATTCATTTCGAAAAAACATGATACAAAAGAAATGGATATCAATGAATTAAGAGAATCTAAGTCCCGATAATTGAGAAATAGAGAATAAAATATACATAATAAAAGGGAAAAGAAAAAGTATTTTTATATGCCAAAAATTTACATTTCAACAATTCAAAACCTTCAATGAGGGCATAAATAATAAAAAGGTGAAGCTTTTGAGTGGTTGAAGTAATAAATTTTAAAATTTGATGGTTAAAAATATTAGAAGAGAGAAAGTTTAGATGTTTGACATGTAAATATTAATAAATTGTGCGGTATATATTTGAAAGTGTATTGAATTTAAGACGAAAAAATATTACATCAAGATTTTAAATGTATTCGGAGTCCAATGGTAGGACGCCAAGTGTCAAGTGAGCTCAATCATTTTTAACACTGACCAATATCAATATATTACTGTGAGGCTCATTTAATATATAATGTCTCATCATTAGACAACTAACACAAATTACATTAAGAATCCGTGTCTAATTTTTCCGATTTATACGGGAAAGGAGAGGGCCCGCCAGTCTGCGTATGAACCACGCAGTAAGCGGCAGCCGCTAAGCTGGCACCTCAGCATATAGCATATGCGGATTCTTCTGAGAATAAAATTCGTTTTTTTAGCCATCACAATAACATTTGTGGTGAAGGAGGAAAATAAAATGATTTTGTATGGAATATCCTTTTCGTCTTCCTAATTAATTTCTATTCTTAAAAATAAATTAAATTATAATAAAAATTTCTAAAAAAAACTTAAATTTTATTATATTTATGGTATGAACTCTACACTATCTAATATATTATGTTAGCCAACCGATCCAGTCCGACGCCATTGTTAATTCCTGCCACCAACACGTCATTTCACAATGGTGCTTCTCCATTGCTACCAGGGGTTACAATAGTCAAGTTTAAGTAAGCTAAATGTTTGTTCATGTATAGCTAGTTCAGAATTTTTTTATTTTAAAGAGGCTCCTGTTCAAAATAGTTCTTGAATAATAAGTTTGTTTTGGATTCAACGTTTGTTCATCATGTTGAATCCTGAATTGTAATTTGAGGCCAACGGTTAGAAAACGGCGGAGGAGGAAGAGAGAGTAGAATATGCCCAAAATTCACTATTGATAGAACACCGGGAGAGCCCGCTTATATGTATTTTTGCATCCTATTTATAGATGTATATTATGTGTAATTACAGAAAAATTGGAGCAATTATGAAAACTGCTTTGAATACAATTGATCTTTTCATATAGATTTCATATTATATATATATATATATAATACAATTTGAATTCTAATATGAAGATAGTTTTTTTGGTCTATTTGTCTGAATTCAGACGACTGGTTGAGTGACGACCGTGCCTTGTGTCGGTAGACCAAAGCGTCCGGTCGAGTGGCGATCTCATATTTCGCGGTAAAATTAGGCTGATTGGTCGAGATCAAATGTTCCCACGGGTGCTCTGGTCAGTCAGGACCACAGATGTAGTCTGTCGTTCAAATCTTTCGTCACAGTTGCGTCACTCGATTTTTGATCACGCGGTCGATTGTGAGGCGATAGGATGCATCGATCGTCTGGTTGTCGTTTGGGTCTTTTGATTGCTTTGAGATCCATGTTAACAGCTTTGATGTATACATACTAGATCTCTAATTTTCTTGCTCTTTGAAAGTGTCTGCTACGATAAGAACAATAAAATTATTAGTATTCATTGGTACTCAATTTGAGAAAATTGATTTAATAATTATCTTTCCATTGACTTTTGTGCCCGGCGTGTTCTACGAATAGGGTCACAGGCTTGACATTTCATTCATGTTGTTATTCTTCCTTGACTAATTGAATTGCATTATGTTGGCTGATTTGAGAGAGCTCGTGTGGACCTCAATATCCTTGTCAAAGTAAGCTACGAGCCCTCAAGTTCTGTAAAAAAAGTTAGGGTTAGGAAAGAAAATCAGTCGGGGACGCAACCTTCGTCGGTTGGTCAAGTCGACTCATATTGGGATCCTGATTCCTGAGGGGAATATGTCAAAGGTCCTTCGTCGGGCAACCGCGACTCCCATGCCTGGCAAGGGAGTAGGCCCGACTTGCTAGGGGTGCCGAGGAGGGTGGAAAGTGGCTAGAGGGAATGGAGATTGGAGTCTCCCCACAGCCGCTGCTGCAGGAAGGCGAAGGCACTTCACAATAAGAGAGCGTGGAAAGATGTTCGGTATATATATTGATGCGTGCCAGAAAATTCGTGATGGTAGAGCAATGGATTATCGTCTTAGCTTTGCATGGGGATTCAACACACGCTCATATGAAAGAGAATGAACCTGTGATGACACCATAATTTTTTACGTGAAAAACCCGTAAAGAGAAAAAAAATCATGAGATCTGGCCCAGTTATAAAAATTCCACTATAAGTTGATGATTACAGAGACCCCTTATCCCACAAACGTGAAAGGGTAACAATATTTTTCAAGGTACAATATCGACTGGCAACGTTTGGTTAGTGGTGGTTGACGACATTTGATGAAGACGGTCGACAGTGGTAGACGGAGGTCAACGACGATTGACAGTGGTCGACGACGACCGACTACCGACTGTAATCGACGGAGGCCAACGGTGGTTGTTGACCGTCGATGATGGTCTGCAGTGATCGATGACGGTCGACGGTGCTCGACGGAGGTCAGCGGTGATCGACGGCTGTCGGTCGTGGTCGACGGAGGCCGGCGGTGGTTGCTAACTGTCGGTGGTGGTCGACGACGATCGACGATGACATAGATGATGTTGAACTTGAACTCCTTCTCAAAGCCTCAAGTTTTATCTCAAGCATCTTCCCCTCATGTGAAGGGTGGGGCTCTATTTATAGTGTTTTGGGTGCAATTAATGCATAAATATGAACTATTTTGATCGGATTCCCTCGATCGAATGACGTTTGATGAATATTTGAGTTTCGTAACGATGTCGGAATTGAACAATCTCGGGCACGTTGGATTCGTCTTGTCAAGACGCTCGATCTAACTATGAACTCGTTAGATTCGACATCCATTTGACCTTTCAAATGCCTCTGGAAATCCTCCAAGAATAGTTTAATTATTTGATCCGGGCTTGATTTGACTCGGAATGGACTAGTTTTTATATCATTGGGTCCGTCTCATCGAGCCGGTCAGTTTGACTATAAGTTTACTGAAATCAGAGCTTTAGATGACTCTTAATCAATGTTTGAATGTTTCTTGCTTAAAATAGTGTCTCGAGATTCGTGTTATGCTTCGAGATTCGCGTCAGATGATGAAAATTTGTTGGTAGGGCTGTCAAAAAAGCTTGTTGTTCACGAACAGCTCGTGTTTGGCTCGTTAAGTAGCTCTTGTTCGGCTCGTTCGTTAGGTAAACGAGTCGAACACGAATAAGTTTTTAAAGCTCGAATTATAAACGAGCCGAACAGAAACAGTTCTTTGTTCGCTCGTGTTCGGCTCGTTTTAGCTCGAAATAAAAAAAAAATATTTATATAATAATATATTACATATATTATTTATATAATAAAATATTATATATATTTATATCTAAGTTTAAATCATAATATCTCATGTGGTAACGTGGTTAATCCCTTATTTTATATATATTTGGTCCAGGTTCGAATCTCACACATTACATCTATTTTTTTCAATTTAATTTTAATGAGCCAATTTTGAGCCGAACACGAACACAAATATTTAAATCGAGCCGAACACAAACACACTGTTCACGAGCCGATTTCAAACTCGAACGATTGCGAACGAGCTGAACAGGAGCTCGCTCAAGCTCGGTTTGTTTACAGCCCTATTTGTTGGTGGCGTATCAGTTGCCCCTCTATTTTCGGGCGAGATCATATTATCTTCCAAAAATATCAAGATCTGGATAACCTTTTTTCAACTTTATATTATTGTATTATATATATATA